TCATCATTGTTATTCAAATTTAAAAGAAAGTGAAAGTGTTTTATGTAAAAGAAATACACAATACTATAACTAGCTTAGTGCAGTATTTAAATATTTGGACTTTATAATAGTGTTGAAATAAATATATTAATTTAAGAAAGATTTGATTAAAAGCTATACATATATTTGATATTTCTATTTATACCTTTATCATGTTTTAGTACATGAAATTTTTTTCATAAAAGTCCAATACTGAACAATTTTGTTACAATGAACATTAGTTTAAATAAAGATTTTGTAAGTATATAAGAATATATTTAAACAACATCAAATCATTTGCAACTTTTATGTTGTAAAAACTAATGCAGAAAAAAGCAATACACAATCAAATTTGTTAGTCCTTAAAGCAGAACATCAATTTTGCCAAAAATAAACTTTATCATATTGATAAAATTAATCTAACATGACAAAAAGAAAGCTAAATATAAAATTTTTGAAAATATTTCAATAGAGTAATACAATTATAAGAAACTTGTATTTAATTAATGTTATAAGCAAATTTTCAATCATCAGTAAACTGATTAAACAAGAAGAATTTCATTCTGAATTATGAGATGAACGTATAGATATAATATTTGTTTTACACATTATATTATTAACACAAAACATAGTTTACACTATACTTTAAGTAGAATATCATTCAGAAAGGAATTGTTAGAAATGAAAAATCATAGTCATTATTACTTATTATCTTTTTTAATTTTACACATTTATCTATAATAGATAGTAAAGTATAAAAAAATAGGTCATAATGTATCATCTATAATGCACAATAAAACATGTTAACAAATAAGATAAGGAAAGATTATATTCTCTAATAATTTTTACAATTAGGAAGGTTTAACATGTCCCAAAATTAATTATGTAATGAACTCATTGAATATTATATAATACAAATCTAAAACATGACAACCATATAAACTACCACTATTGACAGAATAATTTATAACAAAGCTTATAAAATATATTTTTTTAATATGTAGTTTCATATATTCAATATTTAACATTCAGCAATTAAATACTAAAATAACAAGTTCATTGAGTATTTGCTTCTTATCCTATCTATAATGAACAGTTGTGCAATATCATTATTTACACAGCAA